AACCAAAGTTGAGCGCCATAAATCATTGCATTATAAAAAAATATGGTTCAATTACTTTACTCTCCTTCCATTCCTCAAAGGCAAGTGAGTATGGTTTTAATTTTCAGTTGGTGCCCAAAACTCAGCATATTCATCTGCTACCCTATGCCAGTCATCTATATAAAGCAATATTGTAACAAAACATCAATAGAGATTCATCAATGATTAGATCAAAATCTATTTATCATCGTCTAATACCTCTTCTTACAGATATATGCTCACAAATAGTAATATTCAAATAAAAGCTAATAACGAACTTTTAATTAAATTTGTCTTCTGATTCATCAAGATACAAATTAAAATAAAAAACAAAAAACTCTCAACGAACAATTAAAATAGATTTGTTTTATAGCAAGAGTTAAAAAAAAAAAGTTTGTCTTTGTATAAAGAATTTGACAGCTTGTTCCAACAAACCATTTGGTATATCCTACTTATAAATATTAAAACTAAAATTTTAAAATTTTATTTAAGTTATTCCAGTTAATAAACTAAATATTGTTATTATAAATCATATGAGATTCATCTAAATTTACTATTTATAATAATAATAATAATAATAATAACAATAATAATAATAACTCATATAAAGTAATTTTATATTTATTCGTTAATTGTTACTTCTATTTGATTAAATTTTGTTGCCTCAGATGAAGGAACAAATGAGTTGGAAAAAAGGACTTTTCATTCAGAATTAAATACAATAGTGAAGATTTTATGGCCCACGTAATGAAATTAATCTCAATTAGTTAGTCATAGGAAGTTTGAAACAACAAAAACTTGTTAGACGAGACAGTGGTCCACTTGATTTTAAACCAAGAATAATAAAACTGAAGAAACAACAAATTTGATATAGCTCACGAGAACTTTGTTTTATAAGCAATGATTCCCATTCCTTTCTCATTCAACTCAATCTCCCATTCCCTTCAATATCTTTGTAGCCAGGAGGCGATGGCATTTAGTAATTTAAGCTCGTCCACCACCGGAATGGAAGCTCAAGGCATTGTGGAGCAGATCTGTCTTAAATTTCCTCCCAAAGTCAGC